AAAGCTGAGGCAGAAAGGATCACCTGAGTCCAGCAGGTCAAAGCTGTGGTGGCTGTGAAGTGTGCCACTGCACTCCAGCTTGGGTAACAGAGTGAGACTCCAACTCAAAAAAAAAAAAAAAAAAAAAAAAAGAAAAAAGACAAAAGAAAAGTGTCAAAGAAATCACTTTCTTTCCAAATCTTAATTGCTTTAATTAATTCTAATTCAATGAAGCATTTGCATAAAATTTGAGTTTTAAGTCCAAAATCCAGCTTCATTGTCTACCTAGTGATAATTTTCCTGACTTATGGGAGGAAGTAGAACAAGGTGAGGATATTAACTGTAAGAAGTAATGATCAATATTATTGTGGTCCTCAGGGTGTTCCCTCTAAATGATAGCTCTAGTTCTGTCTATAAACTACCACTCACCCACAAACTACAGTTTCAGAAGGCAAATGTACTTTATTTATTTATTTATTTATTATTTTTTCTTTTTTTTTTGAGTTGGAGTCTCACTCAGTCGCCCAGACTAGAGTGCAGTGGCCGCTCCCGGCCACTGCAGCCTTGACCTGCTGGGCTCCGAGGATCCTTCTGCCTCAGCCTTCCAAGTAGCTGGAACTACAGGTGCGTGCTACCACGCCTGGCTAATTGTTTTTTTTTTTTGGATTTATTGTAGAGATGAGGTCTCTCCAAGTTACCCAGGCGGGTCTTTTGCTCTTGTTCTCCAAATGTTTAGCCCGTTGTCCCTGCTCCATTTATGGATCGATGCATTAGTTTCCAACTAGTGTGATATCTCTGTATTCTGCTGTCGGGAAGATGATGTTGCCAGGTCACTGGCAGTGTCTGCATGATACCACATTCCTTCCAGATTACAGAGTCACTGGAAACACAGTACTGTGTTACTGCTGTGGACTACGCAGCTTCCGAGAGCTGACCTATCAGTATCGGCAGAACATCCCTGCTTCTGAGTTGCCAGGTGAGGAACCCTCCTGCCCACTTAACCCCAACTCATTCTACCTGAATTGGCTTCTGCACTCCCTTCTGAACAGACACACCACTGGGGCCTGGCTCCGTGTTCTCAGCAGGAGTCGGCCTCAACCAGGAACGGACAGGCTCTGCAGGCCGTTTATCTCAGGGCTGTTTGCCATTAGTCATCAGGCAACGTGGGTTTCGGAAAGAGATACATAAAGACATCTGATAGATTACTGGAGTGATTTCATTTCCTAATTTAGGTTTTCAGTTAAACGTGTTTTTTCCTTTCCTGAAGTCTTAGGATAGTCCAAGGAATCTAGTTACAAAGGGTGACCAGATGCTGTGCATTTCAGCTGCAGCTGCTCTCTTTGGGCCTCTACTTAAGTTCAGCCGGCTGAGTTGGTGTGTGTGATCTGACAGATATATGTATGTTTTGTTTCTTTTTCTAGTGGCTGTAACAACCCGTCCTGATTGCTATTGGGGCCGAAACTGCCGCACTCAGGTGAAGGCTCACCACGCGATGTGAGTGAGGCTGGGGGACACCTGTGTCAGCCGCAGGCCCTCAAGGCTCGAGGCTCAGGAAGCCGACCAAAATAGTCAACTGTCTGCTCATAAATATGCCAAAACTAGTCTTTATGCTTCTATAAAGTCACATAGCATATAAAATAGCATCTTCATTTAGAAATTCTGTTCGTCCTCTGTTACACCATTTCATGAAACGTTCACCCCTGTCTTTCCTCACTGTGTCTTGGTGGCTAGAGTCACTTTACATGTCATCTGACAGCCTCGGGGCATGCCTTGCTGTTTGAGGTTCACTGCTTCAGAGTCAGTGATTGTGGTGACAGAGAACTACAATCCCAGGCCTTAGGTCCCACTTACTTGACAACTGCATAGCTGGGTTTTTCATTCATACTGTAGAGCAGACTTTTGTAACTTTGTCAACCTCACTATGGTGTCTTTCATGTGGTCTTTAAAAGATGTTTATAGTGACAGCCACATGGCTCAGGGAGGCCATAGGTCAGGAGTCATCTCTTAGGGGAGGTGATCACTATAAATCACTCCCACTCACTTGTGGTTCCAATTAAAGTAATTGAGAGAGTGCCCTCAGGACTCCAATAAAGGCAACTCCGCCTTGCTTGGGGTTTTTTTGTTCTTGTTGTTTTGTTTTCTTTTTGAGTAGGAGTCTCACTCTGTCGCCCAGGCTGGAGTGCAGTGGCATGCTCATGGCCACTGCAGCCTCGGCCCTTCAGCCTCAGCCTCCCAAGTAGCTGGAATTACAGGCTCATGCCACCATGCCTGACTAATTTTTTTTTTTTTTTTTTGAGTCGTAGTCTCATTCTGTCACCCAGA